AGCAAGCGGTGTGTTCATTAAAGTTGGAGAAAATTCTAGAATCCAGAGGCTCGAAGCAAGCGATGATTTCCATTGAGCTTGACAAAAGCCAAAAACCCAGAGATGCTCGACATAACCAAAGCGTTTAGAAGGACTCAAAGAAAAGAGGTAAACTCAAAAGAGACTAGCAGGAAGGACGGCAAGAACGACCGGAAAAAAAACCTGGCTCATCTTTCGAAAAACCAAGCAAGGGGGATGCATGTAACGCTACGAAAGCATGATTATTTAAGGTTTTCAAAATGGGGAAGAACTTTGTATTCGGGTGTGTTTTAGTTTTTTTCTATGTTTTCCTCGCAAAATCAGGTATTACAAATTATCATCGGACTTGGTGGAGGGAGATATCATATTGAAGCCATTTCAGTCGTGATTCTAACCACATTAAAAATTCTCAAATATTTTTCTCTTGTCGAGAAAAACCGGTTGGAATGTTTTGATTCTGCGTCTAAATTCGACCAAGTAATGCGAGCAAGCATGCTTAGTTATGCTCATTTCAGGTCGTTTAGCATAATTTATGCATAATTTTAATCGGGGAAAATGAGTTTTCGGAGATTTTTAAAGCCATTTTGGCACTCAAAAATTCAAAAAAAATTTTGAAATATATTTTTTTCAAGATTGTTTTTTGTTTTTCTACTGTTTTTTGCCATTGATCTATTTGAATTTTTATTTGAAGTAGTCAATTCTTTTTTAAAGTGAACTCGATTCAACCTCAAGGTTAGATGGTTTTTGTCCAATTTTTTCCGAATTTCGCCGATTCGCGCTATGAATTATCTTTAAATATTTCAAAAACTCATCGCAAAAACAGCTTGCTTAGAACAACTTAAACTTTTCACGAATCGATTTGGTGGATGAATAAACTTGAATTGTTTCAAAGTTTCGTCTCTTAAACAGCTTGCACAGACAAATAAACTTTTCGCGAACCGATTTGCTCTACGAAACAATTACAATTTTGTAAAGATTTGTCGCTGGAATAGCTATATGACAACGCTTAGGTTTATCGCTTAATTAGCTTACATTGAAAAATTGAAACGTTTCGCTAACTAATTCACGCTATGAAATAATTTGAAGAACTATAAGTTTTTATCACCTATAACTACCATCCCAAAATTTTTTAATGCAAATATTAAACGACGCATAATTAGTTGTCTTTATATTCGCGGCAAAATGGAATCACCACGCAATATCAAATCAGTCCAAAATCTTCGTGTTACTGTCAAATTACCTACCTAATGCGTTTGAACAGCGCTGTGAAAAAATGTACTTTGTGCAATGCGCTGATGTTGGTGGACCTCTAACAAGACAAGTTAATGTTTTTTTTCTCCAGTGAAGAGCCGGTTAGAGCTCGACAATACACTTAACACCTAAAGAGGCTCGAATCAAGCGATAAGCTCGCTAAAGCTCAGGAAAAGCTACAATCCCAGAGAGACTCCAAGCCTTTTATGCTCATATGCTCATTTCAGGTTGTTTAGAATAATTTATGCATAGTTTTAATCGGGGAAAATGAGTTTTCGGAGATTTTTAAAGCCATTTTGGCACTCAAAAATTCAAAAAAATTTTAAAAAATATATTTTTTTCAAGATTATTTTTTGTTTTTCTACTCTTTTTTTCTAAATCTGTTGTCTTATTTGTCTATTTTACTATGAGTGTCGAATATGCCTGAGTTATAGTTTTACATCAGATTATTTTATCACACCACGCAGGAAAAACTATTTTGAAAAAAAAACTTTGTAGTTTTTGAAGATAATAGTTGAAACATTCTGAGCTACTTGCACAGTAACGGGCTATACTTGTTTTGATTGCGTATTTGGTGTAATTTTTTCTGTTGACTAGCAAATAATCATTATTTTTGTGCGAGATTTCATATTTGTGTACAAAATGATATCCAGTAAGTGTACAAAAGTTATTTTGACGCTTAATAGTATGTTTGTTCCATTTGAATGAACTGCAGGGGGACACAAAATTGCCCAAACAGTGTCAATCAGTGCTAGAAATGAAGTTTGTTCAGATGAAAGTACAGCGATTAGCGGAACCGTTAATATTCAAAGGGACGAAACTATAATATTCATGGATTCAAGTGAGTTTTCTCAGAAGCAAAACGTTTTGTCACAGTTATAAGCTTTTATATCGTTTGTAACTACTCTGCGTATAACTCTGTGTATCCTGGTACAAAGGTGTATATTCTGATATTCTGGTAACACTCCTATTCCAAAGGTCAGAGGTTTGATGCGCATTATGCTTTTTTATGAAGTTTTTTCTCCATAGCCTTGCCACTTTATAACCATCCGTGGCTGCTTTATTAGTGGCTAGTATTACAAGTTTTCAATGAACCTTGGAGTAGTTGCCAGAACGTGAGACTCCAAATCTAGAGGACATAGTTTCGAATCCGGCACATATCAGAAGTTTTAGTTATTCGAGGTTTATTTCTACCTTTTCTTTTTTAGAGCTGTTTTCTTTTGTTCTCTTATTTTTGTTTTAAAAACATAGCTTCTCCTCTGTGTTGACGACTTGTTTGTGTGAGAAAAATGGCGATAAAGGAATTCTTGGTAAAAGCAATTCAATATACTGAAAAGCAATTTATGGAATTGATGAAAAGCATATTCTGAAATTCATTTCTTTACAAAACCTACGGGACGGAAGTCGGGATAGTTTTTGAAACAATATACTCCGAGCGGTTTTCTAGTTTTGTATGTACAATCAGCCGAGAACGGGTCTTACATTTGTTCGGTATGTTTTGGAAAATTTTGTGGATGAACTATCATTAATCAAAACGCGTATTTTTTTTTTTATTTTTTTTTACTTATTTTGTTTCACTTATACATTTTGTTTAACTTTTTTTACTCTATCGAGCTTGCGAGCGTATTTTATTAGTACGACGATTTTTTTCTAACTGAATTCGCAAACAACATTGTTCGCTTATTTGGCTGAACTTTTGCTATTATCACGATCTGTAGTATTGGAAATTTCACAGCATCTGTTTTCTGCTTTCTTTGTTTTCTGCTTTCTTTGTGATTGTGATCCGTGGCGGAGTTGTTTGTGCGTGAGACTCGAAATCTTTAGGTCGCAGATCGTATCCGATACCTGGCCGAAGTTATACTAATTCGAGGCTTGTTTCATTTTTTCTTATTGCACTTCATCTTTTTACACTAAAGAACTTTATAGTGTTTTTGCTAGTTTTTACGAAGCGCGCTTGTGAGCTATCTTACAGTTAAAACTACCGTTTTTTGAAAATTCAGCTTGTAGTTTTTGCATTCAGAAATAATATGCTCATCCAAACTAAACTGTCAAAAATATAATTTGGTTTTGAAGAAAAATTGATTTTAACTTGAAACAGATTGTATGTTGATTGTGCGAACAAGCAAACTGTTAACAGCATAAAAGCCATCTTTTTTGCTGGTCTGTAAGACTTTGGAGAACAGCGAAAGAATTCGAAGTCAGTTAGAGTCTGAATACTTTAGAGTCTGAATACTTGCATTTTCCGATCATTATATGGCCAGACTACATTCTGTTTCTTTCTTGGAAAGTATTTGAGCTTGTTTTTTTTATTCAAGAGGCCACAAGAACTGAGCCTGGATAAAATGAGATAAAAATACAGCAGAAGCAGCTTTTAATAATTTTAGTTCTTTTTTACTTTGTTTTATCAATAAGCGCTGAGATTTTATCGACTGTGCTTTATGTTTAGCAATTAAAACTGATCATCCTTCTTATAGTCCGTTATTTTTTGAAGATCTGTTTGCTGAATAATTTGTTAGATGGTGGGGTTGCGGAGGGCAGAATATTGAATGCGAAAAAAATAAATGATTAAAAACCATTCATTGACCGTTTTGAACTATAAATCAAATTGCCCTCGGCCAAGTTTGTTTTATATAATGTGTTTTGTTCCGGTATCATTATTGCTTTTCTGAGAATCGAAATTCGCTCCAAGTTCTCTAAAATAAAGTACATATGAGCCAAAAAAGTGAAGTTACTACTGTATTCCTCTGGTAACCATAAAATTCTACAGAAGAGCTTTGATGAGAAAAATTGCTTAGAACTAATTAAATGTAAGCTTTGTGCATCTTAGAAGTCTTACTTTCCGCTTGTATTTCAAGTTAATCATGTTTTTCCATGTTGATCAAAAGAGCGAAAAACACTTATATTCTCTACAACTTTTTTTTCTACTTCAGTTCATTTCGTTCAGATAATTAAACTCAGCATTCTATTGAAATCTTATGAAAATAATATAAAACTTCGTGAAAAAAACGCGGTAAACCATTGAGCCAAATTTTGAAAATAAACAAATGGTCCGAAATGGCAACCTGATTTTTTTGTGTTGCTTAGCGATCTGTCTAGAACTTCAGAAACGCGATCGGGGTTTTCTCGTCAAGTGAACTTTCTTCTCGAAAACTTATTTTTCTGCTCAATCATTTTGAGTGAGTCAGATTTTGAGGCTAGTTTTTGGCACCTTATTCGACTTAATTCAGTCTGCTTAATTCAGTACTTAGGAAGAATACCGGATTGTTTTTGATTTTTTTAATCAGCAAATTATTCGTTAAATCAGTTTCGATAAATTATATACGTTACAAAAAAATGGGATAGCTGTATAGCTTTAGTGGACTCTTTTAACGAAGCATCGAAAGGTGTAATTATAGATTAACTTTTGCTATTGAAATTAGAGTCCATTCAAAGAAAAGGGAATTAAACGATGAGACACATTTCTGAACGATGAGCATGCATAGCGCTTTGAAAATTAACTCTACTATAGCAAAAATAGGAAATTCAGAGGGATCGATCTACGGGATCATTTGAAACAGCACTAAAAGTAAATCTATAACCAAGGTGCAGCTAACTTTTTGGTGCATGGATGGGTTATTGATACTATACTTAATCTGGTTAAACGCAGAATGTTTTCAATCGGTTTCATATGTAAATCAGGGTTCTGATATCGTACTTCGTTTCGTACATAAGGAATTGAGCGGCTGTAAGAAAAGATTGTATGTTCTCCTGTTTTTGGAGAAAAAAAATCGTATGTGGAATATTTTTTACAGACACGGTAGCAAGAACTCTGCAATTTCATTTGCTTGTGTTGGTATAATATTATTTTTCATCAAATAATTTCAAACAACCGTATTAGCAGCTTAACGAGAGGAGGTTTTTATTAGATATGTTAGAAGTCTGATGAAATAGCCATGATTTGGTTCGTTAGGCGAGATAAATGAAATAAGTTTACTGAGAATTTGCGCTTCGCAGTGGTCTATTTGGTTGTTGATGCAGAAGTGGCATTATCCTGAAGCGGCTTGGTCAGTTTTGGAATACCTACCCCATTAGTGGTTCCATTTAGCGTAATGGGGGTGAATTTAGGAGTCTTAGGGGGCAGAAACTTGATGCCCTGGTACTCTGTGTACCCCTGGGGATACTTTTCAGTCACGTGCGGAGTCAAAGGGGCTGTCTTTTTCTTCATCTCAAATGAATCGGTTCTATTTTTGGTCCCAAGTTTGGTTTTTTGATTTGTTTCTGTCAGCGATTTGACATCCTCGGTTCTCATTATTATCTCATCTGACTTGAGAGATTCACCCGTGCTCAACAGGGTTTCCTTTGTATCCGATTTGCGCACTTCCTTCTCGTTCTTATGTTCAGAATCAATTCCGACGTTTGAGTCCAAAATAGAAACGTCTGCTGCTTGTGACTCCTTCTCCTCTTTCAATTTACCTAGAGAGTCATTTTCGTGTTGGCTTTTAGGAGTAACCGACTCAAATTCTATTTCGTTGATATTTTTGCCATCCGTTTCTAGACTCTCACTTGGGTTTTGTTCTTTATTTGGGAACCCACTCATGCCACCGCTCTGAAATGTTGCAAACTTTTGTGACCCGGTTGATCTATTCGAAGCAATGCTTGGTCTCCGAGGACTACTGAACCCCGAGTGACCTTCAATGTCACATGGATGGGTACTCATCTGGTCCATAAACTCAGGCTTCGGCTCCTCTCGTTCAACAGGCGGATCTATTCGGCGAACTCGGAATTCATTTGGGTTCTCTTGACTCTGAACAAGAACAAATGGCTGTCGAAACACCTCATGTGAATTGTCGTAATATGCCGGCATCATAGTGTAACCCACGCCTTCATTCTGATTGTCCGTTTTGAACAGCATCGTGTTGTTGATTAAATTGGTGTTAATTGTATTGCTGATGTTTCCTTGCATATACTGTGATGTCAAATTGTGCATGTTAACAAGCTCGTCGCTGGTTTCGAAATTGAACAGAGTTTCTTTTTTGTATGCTGTTGGTCCCGTGTTAATCTCGTCTTTTTCTTTCTCTGCTGGCTTCAGTTTTACTACTTTTTGACCTTGACCTGTCGCACTGACTCCATTAACAATGACGTCTGATGTTGCCATGCTGTCGACACTGGCGCCGCTATGCATGTTAGCAGCAACCACAGACTTTCTTCCTTTGCTCGACGCCTTAGTCTTGTTTCCGCCTGTTTTTGTACCTGAAGTGCGCATCCCGTTTGCTTTTCGAGTGGTTGTCCCGGCTTCGTCTTCGCCGTCGCTTCGTCGTAGGAGTTCGATAACCTCATATCTAAACGCAGAAATGTCCTGTTTAATCTCGTTCAAGTCATCTTCAGTTACCGGCGCGTAGTCTTGAGACTTTTTCAAGTTCGCAATGTATCGCTGTGTCAAATTAGTCATCACATCTTGATATTTTCGTTCTAATTCTCTCATCTTTGATTGTACTTTGGTGGCTTTCTGGCGTTGCTTCAGCTCCTGAAGATCCGAAACGCATAGCGTGCGGATTCGCAGGACGAACTTGTATACTGATTTTGGAGATATGATGATGTTGAAGGGAGGTGGAACTGTCTTTCCTTCCTCGAAGTAACTCATCCAAAGCCGAGAGCGTGAAAACTTCCATTCGTTATCACTTTTCGTCTCTATTTGCTCATAAGACAAATTCATCATCGCAATGAGCATGTTCAGCAGCACAACAATCGCGATTATGTGGTATACGAGGTACATAAACATTGCCATCTGTTCAGTAAAGGCATGCTTAGTGTTTACTGATATAGCGCTCAAGTTGACGATTCCCATTACAGTCCAAAAGAGTGAAATCATCGAATGATAGATCGAGGAGAATTCATTGTTCTGTTGGTCACATGTCACGCCTTTGCACCCATCTATGGCTTCTCCGGCATCAGTGTAGCGGTATTCGAGGTACAACAACTGGTTCATACCACTGGCGAAAGACACTAGAACCAGGACGAAGATGAAGAGGAACTTCATGATGTCGATGATCATGCGCCCGAGAGATATTTGCAGGGGTCCGAGCTGTGAGTTAGCCGTGAAGAGAAACAGAAGGCGAAGAGTGCTGCTGATATTGGCCACTGCGAACAATCCTTCGGCTACTAGCATCGGGTCACTGGAAATCATCTGGTCTCGCTTGATTTCACGGGTGTCTCCGAAATAGACGACCAGTCGGAGTGATATAGTTGCTAAGTAAAGTGAGTTTTGAATGAAGTCCATGATGTTCCACAAGTCAGTTGAATAAGCAAGGAATCCACTGTCGTAAATCTCCTTCATTTCGTTCCAAATGAACGCCATTACGTATGTCACGATAATCCACTCGGGGATGTTCGGTGGACGGGATCGGGTTTCGTTCTCGTCCAAGTCGTTGAAAGTATCAGTAGAAGCCAACACGAGAAGAACGAGAAACATAATGTAAGATGCGCTGTGGTTTATGAACTTGACGAACGGATTCTTCAGAACAGCCGCGGATTTGAGGAACGGAAAGCAGACGTACAAAATTGAAGTGAAAGGGAAAGTGAACGAGATCAGAAGAGTGAAGGCCAGTTTGTAAATCCAGTTTCCTTGCTTCCAGCCTGGGATACCTTGGTACCACATGTGACTCAGCAACTGCTGGCAGTTTGGGTGAGCTACGAACTCTTTTTGTCTGTAATCTATAGCCAGTTTGAACCGGGACAAGTTCATGTTCTCTTTTTCACTGTCTGCGTTATCTTCCAAGTCTAGAATTTCAATTGGATCGGTAGTTCGGTTCAGAATAGTTTTAAGCTCCTGACTGCCTCTCGTTTGGTCCAGAAGATCCACCGCAAATTTGCTGCACTGGTGTGCCAGGCGTTGGTATTCTTCTTTAAATTCGACTTCTCCAAAGCTCAAATGATACAGCTCCCAGCTGATCTCAAAAGCAGTCAGAAAGGGATCATCGCTACATAGAATCATTAAACAGGGGCTAGCCAGTGCCCTGTAGGCGTTCATTCGAGTCTGAGAGTGTCTCAAACTGTCAAAAGTTGCACTGTGCACGCACTCGTAGCAGCTGCATTTCACGCCGTGTGGTTTCACAATAGTTGCACCCCGTGCAATCAATGTCTTCAGAATCTCGTAATTGTTGGTGTGTGCAGCCAAGATCACGGGCGTGATATCGGGGGTGAAGTTACTTTCCTGCTTCTTGCCTCCGTTCATGAGTGCCATCTGATCCTTCTTGGAGGCCTTGGGAACCCTGTAGTTGAGCAACACCTCGACTGCCTGAGGCACTTCCTCTTCAATTGCAAATAGCAAAGCGTCTCCGAGCTCAACATTGTAAGACAGCAGAAGTTCAATGATGTCCATGTTTTCATTCTCGATTGCAATGATGAGTCCGGTTCTGCCAAGAGCGTCCACGCAATTGATGTTAATGTTGAAGTAGATGGCGGACTCTTCTAGAAAGTTCTGGACACTAGAGAAGTCGCCCTTTTCGACGGACTTGAGGAAGTGCCGCTCATCAGGGGAGGTGTCGGTGTCTCCTCGCACGATGTGCAGATGGATCCGGTCCTTATCCTCGCCATTGGTACTGTAGAAGTTTGTAGGCATCCTCTTCTTGCTCTGATTTTCGTTGCTCTCACATTCCTATAAAATATGGCAAATATTGAGCATTGATGATGTTTTGAAATTATTATTATTATTATTATTATTATTATTATTATTATTATTATTATTATTATTATTATTATTCAAGATAACCTGAAGTTTTTTTTATAACTTGGGTGTATAACATGGGGAGAAATTTCAAGTTTGACTTACCCTAATCTCGTGTTGTTGTTGATATACAGTGTTTAGCAGATCGAAAAACCGATTAAGTAATTTTTGAATAAAATTATGGGTGCATTTTATGATTGGAAGTATTTTGGTCAGTAGATTTGGGTAAAAAAAGCAATTAACAAATTGTATTGCATAACTGTCTGAGTGCAGGAAAAAGCTTAAAAAACTGGTAAATGGTTTGGTTGTCCAATTAAAATTGAAGGATCAGCAAAAATCCTTTCGTGTGTTTTCTTATCTTTTTGCGTTTCCTAAGTAACAAAATCAGCAAATGTATTGGCTGAAGTGAAAAGATGGTTTACGTTTGCGGATTAAGTCCGTTTTGAGGGTACATTTATCAAAATGCATTTGTGTTCACATTCTCGTGTTTTATCCTTGCCCTCCAATGAATTGGTTTGAAAATTTGTGAAAAGAAGACCCATTTCCTGTAGATCTACTAACGCCAAACGCAAACACGTTTTTTAATCACAATTTCCCCTCTCGGGGATTAGAGCCCGCAGCAACCTCAATTCGCATACACATATTAGAGTGGTTTTAGTCACGGCCACGAGTAATCTATTGGTAGCCATCATATACGTCGATGAAAGGTAGAAGCCGCACAGCAGAAGAACATCGAAGCAGAAATATGCAGAAACCAGACGAACAATTTTCTCAGATCAGCCTGTGATACGGAATGTAAATGCGGACTACCACTCAAATAAATGCTAGTACGTTTTTTTGTTTTTTATTTGAAAGAGAAAGGAATCGAAATTGAAAAATATCATTATTTTGAAATTAATATTCTCTGATCTCTTTTACCAAATCAATTTAAAAAGTCGACGACATTTAAAATATAGATAAAGTTTCAACAAAAACAAATTTGATAAGCAGATCAAGCTTAACGAATTTCAAAATCCTGCTTTTTTCGGCTTTTTAAGCAACGAGCACAAGTTGGTATTAAAAAGACGTTGACTGTACGGGTATACAGAATCCCTACTTTAATTTCGATGCTTTTTTAAACCTTAGCTCCTCAACAACTTTCATATCTGTTTACTTCCTGCCCATTTTTCCCCATTCCATATTGCTACTGCAATGCACAAACTGTGATTAAATTCCTCTTACTTGAGTAGCACCAACAAAATGGTGAAAATGGAAGAAGAGAAAATATAGAAAAATGTAAGGAAAATTCTCGATGGGTTTTTTGCAGCAGGCTCCCGGGGCATCTATCCATCAATGGTGCTTGAAAGCTTTTAAATCATCATCACTGATTTATTATCAAATGTCGATTTTCAAACCACGAAAGATAAAATGCCAAGTACATACGTGTTTTGTGCTTATTGGTACAATAAATTGATTTAGAGTTTTTTTCAGTTTGTTGTAAAACTGCCACTTTTTGCCAATTTCAGCCCAATTTTTATTATAATTTTCTATTCTATTTCAAACGTGGACCTCGAGTAAAATGGAATTCTGCGGGAAACCTTTGGGTTCCTATGTAACTGATTTCTGAAATGCAAGTTCAAGTAGGCCGAGTCCTGAAGTAATTTTGAAAAATTTTGTTTCAAATTAATCTTAAGTCCTTAACTGAACAAAAGCGTCATACCATATATTTTCACCACAAATCAAAGCTTGTTCAAGATTAAAGCTTTTACTTTGATTTTAAAAAAGCATCATTCTCATCAATCACAGAAAGTGCTTTTAACAACACTCAACCCGTCAAAATGTCGCTGAATGAAAATCTTGATGTTTCTCAGTGTTCTGCATTAATAAGATACGTTTCTGTCACTGTGCAAATAGCACAGAATGTTCCGACCCTTAGTTTTAAATAAGACATTTTTTTTTCAAATTAGTGACGTTTTTTTTTCTGTGTCGTGTGATAGTAAGATCTGAGCGAAAAAGTAGAAATTTAGTATACTCCGCAGTCAGAGTCAAATAGGCAAATTGAAAAACAGTTTCTGTAGAAAACTGGCTAGGAAAACGAAAAAGTAATTGTAAATTAGAATTAAGTTTTTGTTTATGGCGCTAAAAATTCAAGAGCTTAATTTACTCGAGTAAAACAACATTCGCACGGCTTCAATTAGGCCTAAATAAGCTATTGTGAGCCTGCATTTTTTTTACCAACGTCATTAGCTCGAAGTTAGAGCAAAAGTCAAAAGTTTTCTTAGCGGCTTTTCTAGACACTGAGAAAACTTGTTCAAAATTCTTAAAAGTCGATCGAATGACGACTGAAAGGGCTTTAATTTGATATAAAATCCGCCCCATTCCGATGATTATTCGTGGTACTTCATTTTGCGTGGAAATTAAGACATAACTAAAATACACGAATACAAAGTTCCTCCATATGTTTCAAATGATCGGAACAATAATACGGAAGGACTATAGATTCTGTGTAATGTTTTAAAATAAAACAAATATCAAAACTGAGGCACAAAGAAATCATTTTTGAGTCACTAAGTTAGAAGATCATCTAAAAAATAGTGGAAGCTTCTATTCGATCTTTGGAAAATTAAACTATGCTTTAAACTGTCGTGAAATTATGGCCACACTTGCTAAACGTCGTTTTAGGGTATTAATATGATTAATTAGATTAAATAGTTAATTTCATTTGGAACGTATATGAGTACCGGATAAATCGTCGCGCATAGATAATTTGCAGCTAAAGTTTTTAGCACCATAAATAAATTATTCGAAGCGCCTATAAACTAGTCCAGAATTTGGCCATTTGAAGTTTTGATATTTTTAACACCATTTTTAGCACCAATTTGAAGTTTTTAGCACCATAAATTAAATATTCGAAGTGCCTACAAACTAGTACAGAACTTGGCCGGATTGGCAGTTTTCAAACCATTGACAAAAAAGATCGCAGGTAAAATAAATTTTCCTCAAATTATTTTGATTGCCGAAATTGGCCTGAATAATGAAAACACAATCTATATAATCCTTAAGTTCTTGGTCAGTCGGAACAATGAATAACCTACATAGCTCCTACAACTTTCAAACAAAAAGGAAATATTTGTGTTCAAACGCCGTGGTTTTTTTTTCAGACAATTTTCGTTTTTTTTGTGGACTAGCCAATCTTGACAGAATTTGTTATATTTGGTCATATGGCTCCGAGTTTTGAAGAAAATGAGAAACATATATGCTTGGAGTGGTTTTTGTTTTATCCAGACCAATTACCCAAAAGTTGACTGCGTATGAGTGTTACTCCGGATATCTTCGGGTATCTAAGCGAGTATGCTTGCCACTAATCTGAATGTGGTTGAAAACCATTGATCATCAATTATTAGTTTCAACGGGCGAATTAATAAAGCAAATAATCCGCACTCCTAATCAATCCAAGCTGAATTGAGGCAAACTAATTGGTCATTTTAATTCGACTGAAGTTTTAGCCGTCCAAAGTTTGTCCATTTTCGACTGTCCAAAGTTTGTAATTCATCAAAATTTTATCAAATAAATGTATTTGAGACCAGCTAAGGGGCAGTCGGAACATTCAGTGCTTTGCCTTATGCAGTCGTCTTGTTAAAGCTTAAACGTTGAATTAAAGTGCTACCAGTCGCATTTATTCTTTTATACGTAGAAATTTTGTATTTTATTGAGCTTTTTTCCTGATACGAGCAATCCGGTTTGTGTCGAGTTAGCTCTTCTAAGCACGTAAAAAATTTCTTTGTCCTTTTGTCTGAAATACACTGTTTCATTTCGCCGAAAACAATGCTGTGTGTAATATTGATTTCAATCGAAGACAATTGGTTAATATGTTTTTGACCAAAAATTTCTCGGTTAACTTTCTTGAAATTTGTGCTCAAAGCAAATGAAGCAATTACAGGGGTGAATCTAGGAGTTTCTCGGGGGATGGAGAGGAGGCGGATTTAAAAAAAAAATGTTTAAAATTTTGCCCACCTTTTTCTTAGATTGAGCGTATTGATTTTTTGAGATCTGAACTGTGTAAGTTAATAAAAGACTGTTCCCAGGTTTTATCAGAAAAAAACATAATATCTGCAAACTTATGTTTTTTTTTCATCTTGGTTCGATCATCAAATATCGGCTCCTTCTCCTTATTTTTTTAGTTACTTTATTCAGTTACCCCTAGATTTTTCTCTACTTCTGTCCAATTTATTTCTGGTAGTTAACCCTATTTTAATCCCGTCAAATAAAACTTTCTAAGTGCTTGAGTTGCCTTTTGATAGTTTCCGAGAACTAAATTGATGTCAAATCTAAATTGCTTGAAAAATACCATTACACTTCTGCTTGATTGAGCTCTAAATTGATGAGTCTCAATTGTCATTGGAATATCAATCAATTCAATCAGGCCACTCCCTTAAAAACTTTGAACTCCTTTTTTCGAATGCAATTTTCACTGAAAAGCACTCACTGATTTGGCAAACAAAAGTATAAACAAGACTCCAAACACGCCATATATTTTGCATTTAGCCAAGTCTTAGATAGACCAGAGAGCATGCCTTAATTCAATTTGAATTGATTTCTAAGACGGAGTAACTCTCCACTTACGCGTTAATTCAATTTGAATTGATCTCTAAGACGGAGTAACTTTCCACGTACGAATTATATCAAGACTTAATTGTCCCAAATTGGCCATATTGGCAATCTCTAAAACCCACAACTTCTAAAAAGTGATCTCAGGTGAAATATACTTTTTTTTAGTTTGACCTCAAGAAAACAGTACCTCTCGAACGATATAAAAAAATCGTCAAAAATGCTATTGAAAATATCGAAAACTGTCTGGAGAAAAAAAATCAACCTGAGCACAAGCCGGAACAAAAATAACATGACGTCAAAATCGCCGGAACAATAATAACAAGACGTTCGTGTTCAAGACACACCCCCGAATGATCCAAATGTAGCTGGCTTCGAATTGTTTTTCGTCAACTAAATTCTGATAGTGCTTAAACATTGGTTTGCTGTCAAAATTAAACATTGAACTTCGAGTCGGTATAGTCGGTATAGGTTAAAATTATGACGATTTTGTTTGCCTCATTTTAAGTTGGATCAGTTTTGAGTTCGGGATAAATCGCCAGGCGAAAGTGATTTGCGTTACGCTTTCAACGTTCTATATAATATATTCAATGCGCGCATATGTTAGTCTGGAAAATCAAAACTTGATAAAAACGTAAGTCTAAATTTGATCTCAAAGAGTTTATAACTTCAGTAGGGTATCAAAATTGTGAAAAAAAGTTTTGGTCGGCAGTAAAAGACTTTACCAAACATACATATTTCTTGCTTTTATTTCGAATTTAATTAAAAAATTTATAAAAAGTCTTGTGAAATGCCTAAAGCCGCCACCATAAAATCAGTGAAGTTAGGTTGAGACGATTTATCCACAAGGGAAAAGACCAACATACGAGCTGTTCAGCTCTTCACGGAGAACAGCTATTGAGCCCCTGGTTAAGCACTACATGCAAATTTTTTGGCTATTTTTCTGTGTTGAGTAATGTTGCCTCACGCTCATGCAACGATTACGGATCATGGTGAGCCTCAAACATCCGACCTTTCTATTGAGAGGCCGAGACGTAACCACTTCACCACCGCTCTGCTCGCAAATTAATGCCAAACTTGCAAAATTTAGAATTGGTTTTTATATGACCAATTTGATTAAATACCTCATATCATTTGGAACGTAATTGTGTGCCAAATAATTCAGCGCTTATAGATGTTTCGTGTAACGTTTTCAGCTTCTTAAAATAAACCAAAACTCGCATAAAATAGTCCAGAACATGTTCGAACTGGCAAAGTTAAATATTTCTTTCCTAAAAATTTTGATTTTAGGATGTCAAAATTTTCATTGGTGCCTGATAGTTAATACTGAAAACTGTTATTTCGATCGCCGCACCTGGTCTGGAAGAAAAACACAGCCATTTCATTCCTTAGAAAGTCGGATCACAAGAATTATTCTACAAAATTGCTTTGATTTTCGAAAAAAAAGTGGAATATTTCATCTTTTATCAACGAGAATTTCTTGTACCATCTGAAAAATAGATCAAACATAATACACGTAACTTACCTGCGACGTACGGTTGCAAGGGTTTGAAATTTGTCAGTTTGGAATAATGAACGCTCGATATATTTCTCTCTTTTTACGTTAGCAGTCGCAAATTTGTATCAGTTTGTACTTAATAACGAACAAAAGATGTCGCGGAGTGCTTGCTATTGGGCAACCTGTTGGTGATTTTTTGAGTTGTTTTTGGTGTCAAGTCGGTACAGGTTAGAATTATGACTAATGAGTTTTGCTTTATTTCAATTTCGACAATTTTGATTTCGAGCTAAATTGCCATGCAAAATTAAATTGCCTTGCGTTTCCAAGGCCCTCTTAAAATGACCCAAAACGAACAATGTCAAATCTTCGATTTATATGACAAAAATTTGGGCTCAAAGGGTTAATAACTTCATCTGGATACAAATATCTGTCTTAAGAATCATTGTTTTAGTCACCAAAATTGACCTGACTACGAAACTACCCCGAACATTCGTATTGCTTAATTTCGTTTGAAACTCGGAACAACGAACAGTACAAATGATCAAAAAATTTTGTAGTCAGCGTCATTTACTTACTTTGCGCTTACTTTACAGCTTACTCACATTTATTAAGCTTATTCGTTACTGATTTCCTTCCTTTTGATATAGGTTTTTCCGCAAAGCTTCTTTCGTCAAAACATTTTGTGCAAAGAAGGTTTTGACAGTGTTGATCCAATTATTAATGAAGAAGCCAAAAATCGGCTTGTAAATAGCCTAGCTCCACCACGCCTAAAAAATTTGGAGTAAGAGGTATATTGAGCGTGAATCAGGATTTGCCGGTGATTAGTTTTTTGTTCCGACTTTCGTAGAAATGGACAAAATATTTGTCCTCGCTATTTTCTTAGACAATTTTGGACTGGTTTACCAGCCTTTTCTAAAGAATTTTTTGTACCTTGTGGACATTTTCGAAGGCTTAAGTTAAAAAAAACTAAAAAAATTGTACATAATTTTCAATTGCGACAAGTTTTTGGAAGTTATGATGGCGGTGTGAAAAATTGTCGGTTTAGCCAAGGGCGGTCCTGGGATTTGTCGAATAGGGCGGATTTCAAACTTTTTTGAAAAACAGGTCAGAAATGCCGTTTTTGGGCTTTTTTTGGAAAAATTTGACTTAAATAATTGGGTTTTTCCGTTCCCTTCCCTAGCTGTGGAAAAAAATTAGTGTTGGTCGGCTTAAAATGGATGTCGTGAAAAAATACCAAAAAAGACACCCTTTGGTTGGTGAGGTGGTAGAATAAATTGATCTCGAGGAAAATGAGTTGTTCAAGCTCAATAGTGATTTTTCGCGGTTTGACTGTCGGCGAATTCTGCTCTGGAATAGGTGCAAAAAAGGTTATTATTTCTTTTTGTAATGCTCAGCGCAATTTTCATAATTGCCATTGAAAAAAACTATCTTTTGATCCATTTCCTCAGATGGATTAGTTTCATGGAAAAAAACTGATGAAATAAATGTTGTAGAGTTTCCAGAAGCTTGAAGGTATGAATTTTTTTCGTTGAAACTTAATTTTCTTTAATTGAAGTCACTGAACGTAGTGAAGACTCCTATACTAGAGGGTGGTAGAAAAAAGGCGTCCACCCCCCCCCCCCCCCCACCGCACCCCTCTGAATCAGACCATGATTTTGGCTAATTTCGGATAATTAAGTGCATGCGAACTTTCCTAATTTTCTGCTAATTTATAGCGTAGTCGGCGAACTAGCCGGGCAACAAAACATTTCGAAATTGAATGAAGGCTTTCTTTTTAAATATACTTGCGAGAGCAAAGGTCTTGTGCTCGGATACTAGACTTTTTCTTCTTGTGAACTACTTTCTTTTAAATATGCAACAAACGTAAGGCTATTTAAGGCTTTCAAAATATTATTTTACAAGAAAAATGAAATATAAAGAATTAGAATTTAGTTATTTTGCATGAAAACACAGTAAAAATCGGTAAGAAGTAAGAAATCAGCAAACCAGGGGCGGATATGAGATTTTTTCGAAGGGTGGAAGCGGATTTTCAAAAAAATTCCAAAAATTTTATCGACCTTTTTTTAAGTCGATCAAACTGATTTTCCGAGCTCTCCCAAAGCACTTAAAAACCCTGTTTTAGCCAAATTTTGTGCGCCCCAGGCAAACTCTTGAAGAAACAGGCCAAAAACGGCTTTTGTTAGACATTTTTTGGGTAGGCAGGGGGTGGAATCCTTGAAAAAAGGGCGTCCACCCCTCCCCCCAGTCCCCCTAAATCCGTCCTTGCAGTAAGTAAACAGTAAGAAAAGAAACCAACTGAAAAGCACACAAAAACAACAAAAAAAACGAAATGAAGCGATAACGTTTTTTTGAATAAAAATGCATTATAATCGATTAAAATGGATTATAATTCAATAAAACTTCAGAAATAATTTTTTCAAAAAATAATCGATTATAATCGATTATAATCGGTTATAATGGGTTTTTTGTTTTGCAAAATAATAACCTTATAATCCAATTTTAATCGATTATAATCTATTATTTTTCGAAATTTATGGAAACTGACAAAAAAAAATCCATTATAATCTATTACTTTCTCTTTTTACTGAGTGCGGGATAGTCTCAATTGCCTGAATACTCAATTCGAGTTACCAGTCTCAATCATATCAAGAATCTATTTTCTTTTGGTAACCTATTTGATTTGCTTCTCTCGCAAAATCATGTGAATCCAGCTTATTGGTATTTTTGACTCTTTTTTTAAATCGTTTTTGCCAAAAGACATTTCCGGCCGGTGAAAGTGTGTTTTATGTTTTTTCATCTTAAAATAGGGTATCACAAACAATCATAAGATATAGGATACTCAGCCTTTTTAGTCCTGAATCATTTAAAAAATATATTTTGAGAAAAATTAGTTCAGTCTCGAGAAAAACTGTTTTTAAATTTTTTTGCTTTTTGTCTAATATGCATGGGATTTCATGTCTCTCTTTTTGGCTAATATTATGCAATTTAGTCAACTTTGGCTGAATTTGTCTGAAATTGAAGGAGCGTCTAAGGATTTGACCGGGGAGTTAATTGGGAGTCAATGCAAGTTTTTGTATGGAAATGGATTGTATTGATTTATTCAGATCGTACTTAGTTATTCAGTCAAAAAAATTTTTTTTTGTCTTCGGGTAAATTCCAATTATTTTTCCGACCACTGAAGGTCGATAAAAACTTGTGTGTATCATTTTTTACCAAGGAAAATCAGGTATTACAAACAATCTGCAGATATATCATACCAAAGCGCTTTTAGTCCTGAATCGTTTTTTAAAAAATTCGAGAAATGTTGCTTCAGTGTCGAGAAAAACCCGTTTGAAATTTTTTGCTTTTTATTTATGCTAAAATTGGCGTTATACTAGCACAAAAAGCTTTTGTTTAGGCCGTCTGAAAAAGTTGTTTTCAAAGGTGCTTTAAGCGCTTGTTTGGCAATAAAACTTTTTTGAAAATAAAAAAAGGTGCAAATTGTTAAAAACAAATAAAAGTTTTGTTGTTCAATTTTTCAGAAGACAACTATGGTCGATTATGATTGAATTAATATTTTTCTTATTTATCGTTTTTCCTCTGAGCACTCCACTCTCAAAAATGAAAAAATTACGGTTTTATGAATGTGGTTGAAACTTTCTTGTTTTCTTCTGACGTCAAAATATGATTTTTTTGGTTCCATTGCTTTTCAAGATGTATTGTCTTTTTATATAATCTTCAGTACAAAAGAGATAGAGCAAAGTTTGTATCGCAGTTTAATAGTTTAAAGTAGAAAACAAGCGCTTTTGGTCAAACTGGCTAATTACAGCGTTGTTTAATGATAACTTTTGGCATCCAACTCGTAATTTCTTTTTTGATGATGCTGTAATTCTTCATATATGAGCTCTTCTTTCTTATCAAACTTGGTCACAATTTATCAACCAAATAGCATATTGATAGTTTCGAAGTCTGTGCATTAGTAACGATGATGCGTTAGAAACAGCAAATTACAAGTAATTGAGAATTTTGTGTGATAAATATTTAAAAATGCGAAGAGATAGCTCGCCTTCTGGGCTAGTACCTTGTTTACTTTTGCTGGGCATGTTTGCTGCGCCTCAGTCATCTGCATCTTGTCCTGAGGCATTCGGTAAGAAATCAAATAATTTTCCTTTTCGTGTGCTTCTAGCTTCCAGAAACTTTCCGGCTTTTTTGCCACCATAGTTCTCTGGTTCAGACTCAATCGAAGCTCGGATAATTTAACCCGTTTCGTGCCAATTATGGACTTCCGGATGTTTTCTAGTTGGAATGTTGATTCCAACAGTTGCAGGCAATTTTTGGATCTCTTTAACTATATCCCCCCTCGGGTACCTAGTGACGAAAATCCCCCCTTTTGCAAAAGAGGGATATAGTTAAACAGATCCCAATTTTTTAATTCCACCTGTTCAGATAAGACCTATTAAATTGATATATGATTACTTAGTTTTAAAAAATTTAGTTGAGTCAAATGTTTATATTTCAATTACTCGGTTAACTAGAAAAAAAATGTACGAGTTGAAAGATTTATAGAACTTACACAAAATTGAACATTTGCATGTTTTTATTAAGCTATCGACCAGATAAGTGCGACCAGCTCTTCGATGGAACTCCAGATATGGCACAACTGTTCTGTGGTTCCCAAGAACAACGGTATATCGGTCTACCGACTGTGGCGCGATGACAACGTGCTAGTGCGAGAGTGGGAGTATAATCCGGTTCGGTCGCCGTGGACCTACACGGACGACGGGGGTTCCATTTTTGGCAAGCGAGACGGTCTGGAACCAGGTGCCAGTTACAAGTACTCTTTACACTTGGACTCCGGTTCCTCTGTATCAGAATCTTATTTCTGCCTCGGTTAGTTTTGATAGCTGCGTCTTACTTTCTGAGAACGAGCTGTGTTGTTTGTGGATCTAACTTCTCATTTTGTTCCTCTCTCTTCTCGTTATTAAATCGAAAGCAAGGGTTAAATTAATTAATGATGTTGATATTTTTTGTACTCAAATCAAACTTCTTTTCTGAATTGTGCACAAATTCGATGTTTTTCTGTACATGGGATCCAGATATTGGGCTATAGCGTATTTTACAATTTTCAAGTTGACGTATTTGCCAATTTCAACTCAGATAAAAAGGATTGGAGCATAGTGGTATCATTTTTTTTGCTATTAGTGCACTAGGAGCTAAGTTGATGCAGTGGAATGGCATAGAATGTTTTATAATTGAAATTAACCTATGAACTTTGTTTTCAATTGCGGTTTTTTTTGGAGCTCAGATTCGTTTTTCGGCCATATCCATATCCATGTTCCAAAGACATTTCCATCATTTTTTTATCGCTGCTAAGCCGGCATGTTTTGACATAAAAATTGGCCTAAACAATATTTTATTTTTAATGAAGCTCTAATTGTTGTGGTTTTCTAGATCTTTGATTTCAGTGCCCGCCAATCCTTTCTACGTCACCTCGTATGCCGAAGGAGATCAACTGGTAGTTTCTGTCGTGCCAGATCCCCTTTATCCCGAGCACTCCTCGGATTTCAAGGTTGAAATTACCGGCTTAAGTCTAATCTGTAAGTAGTTTCAGTACCCCCATTACTTAAATTATGTTTTACCTATGAGCTATGTTTCTCTCTCTTCTCGTTGCCACCGCCTACTAAGCCACCGCCTACTCATGGCGGTGGCTTAGTCTTGACTCTTTCGCGGTTTAAAGGTCCCCAACAAGTATACAAGTCGTTGAATGAGGTGGGGGGTTTGAATAAAATTTTTAAATGGTGCTTTCTGTGAATTTTTTTTGACAATTAGAGAAATTATCTTTTTTCTCAAACTAAAATATAAAACGGGGGGAGAAGACAACTTAAGTCAGTTTAGTTTTTCTGTACTTGAATTAACTCAAATTCTTGGGAAAAACTGCCTGAGCACTTTATGCCATAATATGGGAGTTTTGAAACCATGTTTTCGATGACTTCGCAGTTATAAATTTTTGAATAAAGAACCAATTTTGGTACAAACTGATTGGATTAATAATAGGTTTAATTGCGTTATTAAGAGCCAATGAAGAGGCTCGAGACTCTGACTTAAGTCGTGATATTTTTTTCAGGAAAAAAGATTTCTTGCTCGATTTTACGGTTTGACTTTGCTTCCTTTTGAAGTTCAGTTCATTTCCTTTGTTGAAAGGAAGGCAAACTCCACTATGGAACAGCAAGTTGCGCCAAACGTTTACAGCTTGTGTTAAATCAAATTTCGGCATTTTATGTTGTAAAAATGGCTTTTTTGAATATGAAGCAAAACTATTTCATTTGTACACAAATTTGAGAAATTATACCCTTCTAGAATTTTTGGCTCACATTGGAGTCTGATTTTGATATAATTTTTAAATTAAGTCACTTGTACTTTCGGCTTTGTTTTTGTTGGCCCCTTTTTGTTGAATTTTGGGCCCAAGTTTCGCAAACTAAATTGCACTTATTGATTCGGCTGAAATTTCAAGCAAGATTTGTCTTCATCTTTTGTTGCCTAATGTCAACCCAATTTAATGTCGCTGTTGAAAAGAAAACACTTAATTAATTTTTTTTTCGAAAAAGCCGTTATAGTTATTCACGCTCAATTGTCTTTTTTGCTCTTTTATTTTGTTTTCAATTTCAATTTCAATTAAATTGCTTCACCGATGGCAAATTATGCTCTGCAAAAACAAAAATGATAGCATGATGCGAAAAAAAAACTTGAATGATTTTTAGTTTCGAAACTGGATTATTTTTTTTAAATTACCCAGCGGATTAAAAACTTTGTTGCAATTCAAACAAGAGGATTTTGAAATTCAAACTGTTTTATTGTGATGTTTTTCATTCGAAATTAGAGAATTTTGAATTCAAAAAATAAAGGCGTTTTTGTTTTTCTTGGACATTTTTTTTGCAACTGTTGGCTATATTTTTAGTACCAATTAATCAGCAATTTTTGAATAAAATTGAGACAAAAATTTTTCTGTCAAATTAAGGAATCATCAAGAAATTTCTCTGTGTCAATTTTCAGTTTTGTCAAAGGCCATAGTACTTGCACTTAGATTGGATTGTAACTTCCGCTGGGATTGTAATTTCATGAGGCAGTTAGTTATAAAAGACTTTTTTTTCAGATATAAACGCACCTGACACAACGGCCTTGATAAACGTGGGAGCATACATGACAGAATACAGTGTGACGGTTAAATCAGTGAGGGGTGCCTGTAGTGGCTTCGCACTTGAACTTCTCAGTGATCCTTACGTAATTACCGCGTATACTGGTGAGAAGTGTTTTTTTTTGTTTCTGGCTTGATAAAAACTAAAAGTATCCGCAGGTATATTTGTTTGTTGAATTTTGAGCTAATTGACCATATATTAACGAGTTACTCATCTAGCTGTTGATTATTAATTTACACTAAAATTTTTCCAATGGTAGCTCCATTTGTCCTTTTCACGCTTTTTAATTTTTCACGCTTTTTATATTAACATTGATTTATCCTTCTTATAAAAGTTGTAAATTGTATATTTTCTTGTCAATTTAATTTTTAATTTTTAACGTAAATGACAATTTCATCAAGTAGCAGCATGTATTCTCAACCTTGTGCTTATGTAGAAATTACTTGTTTATGATAAAAAAAATTATACGGGAGACTAGAATCGTACAATAATTTATACGAAAAATTGCAATTTTCTAGGCTGTGATTGAGATTTTTTGTGAGTAGCAAGTTTCATTGCTATTATGGGGCAGCTCAGGTGCTTTGGAAAGTTTGATTAATTTCTTGTTGAGGCTTGATGTTCCTTCTGTTTTCAGGGTGCTTGAAAAAGTGTATTGTCGTGTATACTCGATCATGTACGATGTACCTAATATTGTACCTATTATTGGTTTATACTTACACGGCCAGAGTTTGAAACACCGACAATAACACCTATAATTGTGTCTGCGACCAATCAAAACCAATCAAAGCACGAAAGTTTAAAACTCAAGCTTTTTTGATTCTAGCGTGAGGTGTGTGAATTGTCAAAACAAAATCAAACCAGAAAACTTTATTTTTCATTAGAAAGTCACTTCTCTGGCCGATCATCAATGAAAAACATGTGATATCATCGTAGAAACGAATGATTCCCATGTTGTTGTCCTTTTCGTACTTTTTCTCCGTATTTTCATTCTTTCGTATCTTATAGTTTTTTTAGGCCTCGAAACCCCTCTAGTGGATGTGACAGGGTTGAACAGGAGCTGTATCGAGTACAATGTGACTGCTCAGCACGTGAGCAACTCAAAAGTAGTCTACCAACTCTTCAGAAACGACATAATCATTGACGACCAACTCACTACAAATGAGCTGATAAACGCCGACTGCAGTTAGTATCAAATGATTTCGTTATCTTGGGGGGGGGGGGGGGGGGGATGGGTTAATATTTGAAACCTCCTCGTGCGATAACTCGCACTCACTCCAGCTTCGTCTTATCTTCTATGATGTGAATATTATCAAAAAAGTTTTTTTTTTCCAAGAAAAAAAGAGAAAATCGGAATCTCTTTAAACAACGCTGCAAGTTTTCTTTTCAGTTGCTCATTACATATGTACTGCATGGGTAAGTTGCTTGGCATGTATGCAACTTGCGATTATTTGGCATATATGTAATGCTGACATCAAAATCGGAATCAAATATGAGGAAGAATGAAACCAAGAGATTGCTAGCAAAAAAGTTTTCATTTTTGCAAAAAAAGTTCTAGAAAGCGATTTGTAAAAACGTGAGCAAAACCATCTGTCGAAATAGCTTCAAAGCAAAAGTGAGCCTAGGACTTTTAAAAGAGGAGAGAGCAGAGTGGGGTAGATTTTTAAAAAAATTTCATCGAACAATTGCGTTTTGTGCGGTGGTTTATTCACTCTTAAAATTATTGTAATGGCGCCAACAGTGCTTTTAGAACACTTTACGTTTTGTCGTTCAAAAGCGGATGTCGCATAATAGTCCCAAAGGGTGACATTTATTTGGTGCTGGTCTAATTACTGCGAGGAACTCCCCTTAAATCTGCTCCGTGTTCATAGTGTTGACGTTTAGGAGGTACAGACAACTCACAAAAAGATAACTTCGAAAATGGGTAACGCGAAAGGTAGAGATCTGTTGCTGTTTTGAGAACGTGTTTTTTTTCAGGTCTGACTCCAGGTACTGCTTATGACTACAAAGTGACGGCCTTCTCCACTCCCAACGACTACTGGGTGACTAGTGATCCAGCTTCAGAATGCACTCGTGAGTAAAAAGAAAGAAAGAGACTAATAATTCTCCTGTCAGAGAAAGTTAAAACGAACAAAGTCACTTGTTGCGGATTTAGGTCTTCTTTTTTATTTTCTTATTTTATGTTTGTATTCGTTTGCCCTCGATTTTTTCAATGGATGCCTTGGCTTTTGAAACCTGGCTGTGAAACATGAATTTCCTAGCGGAGTTCAAATTTTATTCCGTTTCTTATACAGACCCGAGTTCGGCGACTGATTTGACTGCTCTGAACTCGACCAACGACAGCGTCAGTCTGAGCTGGGTTCCTGGCAGAGGCGGAGTGCACCTGTACTTCGTGAGCGACGACGTTGGAAACACTAACTTCACTTATCGCAGCGACGGAAACCTAAGTCACACACTGTGAGTCAAATGGGGTTGTTTGCGACATAGCCATACGCGCCATAACATTTGAACATTTATCTCGTCCCAAACACTTTTTTAGGGAGAGCGAGTGCATAATGGGATAAATAGGATAAATGTTTTCACGAAATACTGGTCCAAATGCGGAAAATTTTAAAAGAACTGAACTGTTTTATCAGCATGCAAAAATCTGAACATGCAAACGGACGCAACATTTTCAAGTTATTGCAAATTTTCAATCCTTCATCTTCTAATTCTTTTTTTGAAAACCTTATTATGAAGAATTGCTGAATTTAACGTTTTTTTCGAACAACAGGAGCATGCTATGATTGAAAACTATATTTTTATTTAACTTGAAAAAACTTGCCTGGAACAGGTCAATTTTTGTGGAATTATTTGATAACTTTATAAAATTTTTTGATATATTTCTCGAATTTCTAAACAGGGTTGGATCTAAGATTTTCTTGCCGTGTTTCGGGAATTTTTGGAAAAATTAGAGTTTAAAACCGAGTTTTTTGTCGCGCGCTCCCCTTCAAAATTAGTATATATATGTGGCGCCAAAAGTCCGCCTCCACCTAAGTCCGCCCCTTTTTCTTGTAAGAGCGTGCTAAATCAGTTCAGGTAAGTTTCTCAGTATGTAGCCATCAAGCATCTGTCATCCATTCGAGCTTATTTGATTACGGCAGGTACCGGCCTTCGGCGCTTTCTGTCACCCTCTGTTGACCTCTGTAAACACAGCCTTGATAAATTTTGCAAAATTAAGTTGATAGTTGTTTGAATTTACTGCAATGCAAATCTACGTTTTCAACATGGCGCAGCCAGCAGTCCCAAGTGGGGGGGGATCCACTGCGAATAACTGAGTTGTAGCCCCCGAAATGCAACGAACCATCGATGCTATGGGAGTTTCAGTTCAACAGACTCCAATGGGGCATGGTCGCGAAACACGGGTTGAACCCTAAGAATTTTTATTTCGACGCCGCGCTCACGCCAGTGCAAGTCAGCCGACGTAGACAAAGACGGCAAAACCAAGCCGGAAAGCGAGCGAGCCGTGATCTCAACCTATACTTGTTCCTGGAGGAAAAGGGAGAAGACAAACTCCATAAGAGGCGGCCGCATCTCGACCTGTCAACGACACGTTACCCTTGGAGTCTAGACGCGTTCGAAACCGAATTTCAGAAAAAGAGAAACGAAACGTACGAAACATTTCAGCTTCTTTCAAGAAAGCAGCTTATTAATGAATGGCTGGAGCAGTTTCACTCGGTGATGAGTGGGCGCGCAGCTAGATGTAACTTCGGGAAATTAGAAGGGGACAATTTTGAAGGACGTGTTTATCGTAAACATGAATAACCTCGAAGCAGCACAAAACGAACTATGCAGATCAACCGATAAAAAAAGACGTGGGGCAGTTGGGTGATTTAAGGATTTCATAATCCAGGAGCAGGAGAGTCAAGGATTTGATAATCCACGGGAATTGAAGCACCTCGTCTCCCAACACGGAAGTTCGATAATGTGAGTCAACCCCAGCGATCCAGTGGATTTTTCATGGGACTCTGATAGCGACGCGCGACTATATGGTAATGGCGATTCGACATAAAAGAAGTAGGAACCATAACGCCTTCCGGGATTATGCGAACAACCGCCTTCCGGGATTATGCGAACAACCCTTTGAAGTTGATCGGGACGATGCAGGTGATATTGGAAAACAATGGGTGTAAGGCTGACGCAAGAAAAAAATCATCGGGGGAAATTGACCGTTCATCATCGGACGTGACTTGATGGCGCACCTGGGGCTCAAACTGATCCAACAAACACTAGGGGCTCAAGTCATGACCATCAAGGAGGAGCTGCACGGGGATTCGAGGCAAGAGATAGCACTTGAAATATGGCAGGAACACTTCAGTAAGCAGTTTTCAAATCTAATTTGTAGGATAGAGGAAAGATCAGGAACTGTTACGTGCAGGCGGAACTTTGAGCGAATCTTACCCCAGTACAACAAAAAAATCGACGAGTACCAATTACATTGCAAGACAAGTTAAATAACGAAACTAAAAAAAAAACTGCTAAAGCAGGGCCAGAAAAGTTAGAAGATTGTTCCGACAGTTATTTTGTATCGCCAGCTGTGAAAACAGTAAAAAAAGACGGATTCGTAGAACCAGCGCTTGAATCAAGAAAACTTAATACAGCTTCACAAAAACAAGTAGCAAACGCCGAATATAGAAGAATTGATATACACCGTCTAGCAAAAGATCAGCGAGAACGAACTGGGGGATATATATTTTTTCAACCATGGATCTTTTTTACGCATACGGCCAATTACAATCAGCGAGGATACAAATTAGCAGTGTATTTTTTCACTAGTAGGGGTGAAGTCAACGGGTACGTAATGTTTAATAACGGGGTTTTACGGGCTTACAACAAGACCAGCCGAGTTCCGGCGAGCAATGGACTGGTTTCTCTCCAAATTTCCGCACACGCATGCGTTCATAGACAATATTTTTGTGATCACTAAGGGCACAGAAAAAGATTATTTAGGAACAGTCGAGAAAATCTTGAAAAAACTGGATAAAGGAAACATGTCGCTGAAACTTACAAAATGCAAATTTGCACGAAAACAATGCGAATGGCTGGAGCACAAAATCGCCACCACGGGAGTAACACCCCTTGTGCTGAAAACAGAACCAGTTGAATCGCTAAAACCGCCCGGCTCGTTATCACAGTTGAAGTTTTTCATGCCTTCTACCCATAGCCTATATAAAGGTTTGCCACCCTCACTGAGTCTTCCGCACCTCTGCGACCATTTTGAGCAAAAATAATGATTATCTTTGGACAGCGGAATGTCAAGCATCATTTGATAAATTGAAAAAGCAAATCACGAATCTCGTAGAACTCAGACAATTTGATACCCACAAGAACATCAGAACAGTGTGCGACTCAAGCCACCACGGCCTAGGGGCAGTCCTGGAGCAACTAGGACCCGAGGAGTGGAGGGCAATTTCTTTCACCTCAAGGAGTATAATCAAGGCGAAAAAAATTTCTCTACGATCGAGTTAGAAATGCTAGACGTTGTATGGAGGGGCAGCTTTTTTTTGCAATTAAAAACTACTCCGAAAAACTCATGTAAACATAGACCATAAAGCGCTTTGTTCACTCTTAAACGGCAAAATTAAGAAGAACAAAAACATGTTCAGTCGCCTAACACGATAGTTGGGTCGGCTAATTCTGTTCGATTATCAATTTGAGCATAAGTCCGGGGTCAAGATTGGCCTGGCGTACTGTTTACCGCTAAATCCTAACATTGAAATTACACCAACCAGCACATGTGATAGTATTTTTACAGTTGTAAAGATCAATTTAATACGAAACGCCTTCGGTTTCCTTATTCTAACTCCAGCAATGGACTAAAAATCGAATTTTATAAGCAGTCATCCAATCAGCTTGAAGTATGCAAATTTTAGCCAATTAAAACGCCAGTAGAGGGCGTCGCATCTTGCACGCAAATTTTTACCAATCACAGGCCAGAGGTTTGCATATACCGAAGTTTACGCAAAACGAACGCGAATGTAGTCGGTGCTATTAATCATTTAGAAGAACATTGGTCGGAGCCGGAAAACTTGAACTTTCATAATTATAGAAAAATTGATCAAATTTTTCAGAAAACTGGAAAAGTTTTTGAAATAAATATCCGATTCCAAACAGTAGTGATGAGAGAAATTGGGAAAGTGAAGAAAGTTCAACATTAGAGGCGGTTAAAAATGGTTAGAACAACCAAGACTAATGCTATTCTATCCTCATCCTCGGCGTATAAAGGGGAGACAATTCCACCGGTGAACCCTAATTTTTTACGCATGTCTTTTGTTCCACATGGATACAAAATTGTTAGCAAAATAACTTCCCTTCCAGAGTTATTTTATTTACAATTCGTCGAATCCCAACCCCCGAATGACATCAGAGAGATAATTGATCAACAAGATCCCCAATTAAAGGATACAGGTTATGCAAGAAACCGTTACAATACTTAATTACCTAATGATTCTTACGTTAAAGAAAACGTCCCCTGGATGGACGAAAAATTAACACTACCCCTGCCATTATGGCAAGACAATTATGTTTGCGGCTGCAAGAGACATCTGATACCCATGCGTGAACGCTCGATCGCCTTCAATGCCGAAAACTTACCGAATGCAGAGCCGCCGGTAAGAATTTGAATCACTAGTAAGTAAAAATGATATCGGGAGAAAAACTGAACCAAAAGAGTCGAATGAATCTGTACAAGTAGATTTTTAGTCGCGGATAAGCTACCTGAAGAAAACAAAGACATGCGTACTTTAAGCAAATAATCGTTTTTCGCGCTGGCTTTCCGCAATGGTATTTGGTAACAACCTGTCGGACAACTTTCTAGAACTCTTGAAAACTCTCAACGCCACCCACGGCGTGCCCGAAAAAATCAATTAGACCAGAGAATTAATTTTGTGTCGCACGATGAAAAAATTTTTGAACCGGAGAAGGCATAGTAGTCATAAAAACGCCTGTAAATGATCACCGAGCGGCATGTTGCATAGAACGTATCATCGGTAGTCTTAAACGCTTAATCTTAACTTGCGCAAAAGAGCAAAACCCTGAACCCTTGGAGAAATTGATGGAAAGTGCCCTCGGCAATTTACGTTTCTCAAACATGCAACATTGAAACTTTCGCCAATCGAAGCTTACCATGGGCGCGAAATCAAAACAGTGCTACGTAATCTAACAAAAACCCTCTCTCCAAAATTAAAATTGGTCATGAAAGATAAAAAGAAAAAACGCTTGTTTAATGACATTGACCAAACGGTGCAAGATTTGCCGCATCCAGCGTGCGTTCGAATTTAGTCTATGACATAAAGCCAAGAGGCCACTCAAGGACACTAACGGAACAGCAAATCCTCAACCAGGAGAACGAACCAGTTGTACGCAAACCAGGGGTGAGCGCTGACAACCAGGCACCAGTGCCCTCAGGCAAGCTGTAC